CGGGATGGTGCATCTGGAGACCATCTTGTGCCAAGCCGACTTTGGTCTCCCACCGCCCTCTTTTCTCTGAGTTTTCCCACTTCGGAGTAGAACTGCACCAGCGAGAGGGCCCCTTGCCCCTTGCCCTGTCCTCCTAGTCCCGAACCCTGGCACTCTACCCTTGCACCTCTTAATCTAGATTCTAGGCACCCGGAGAGGATCCTGAACCACCGCCTCAAACCCGGAAAATCCGTCACTAAGTCCACCCCCAGTAGTCCCGACAGATCTCCTTTGAAATGTACTTCAACGATATAAAGACCAAAGAAAGAAAAATTCACTGCAAGTTTGACAAGAGAAAGGGCAACTCCCCCAGAATCCAACTGGCTGAGGAAAGCAGCGCGGGGTTCTGCAGCCAGAGCATCACCAGGGAGCCTTGGACCCCTCCACAATATTAGGACACTCCTTCTCCCTTCAGGGCACTGGGCCTGAGGCCCTGAAAAGTCCTCATTGAAACTGGGGACCACAAGAACAGATTTAAACCCAAGAGAGCCACTTCTAGCTTATCAGATGGCCCAAGAGATGAAGTAACTGGAGATGCTGGCAAGGGGTCTGAGGTCTTGGCACCGCTCTCCTGGCCACCCTCCGCATCTCCCAGAATCCCAGGGTCAGCTGGAGATGGCACCAGCTGGGGAGAGCCCTTCACCAGAGCACCTTCTCTTTGGATTTGGAGAGGGTAGGTAGGCGATAGAACAAAGGAGAGTGCAAAAACACAGAGTATAAAATATACATATTGTCATGAGCAAAACCCTTAATTTAGGTTAAAAAGGGAAAAAACTGAACAAATGAATTAAAAACTATATGCTAATAGAAGATCAAAGATTAATGAAGAGGGCTAAAATAATTGGTTACCCTTTCCTTGGCCCCCAGAGAGTACAGAGAAGTCATTGATTAATTTTTTAAATGGTTTTCAATGGGAATCACCAGACCACCCCCTTCTGAATTTCTTGGTGTTCTATTCTAAGCCAACAGCAATTTTCTGAATTAAATTTCTCCAGAGGCGGGAGGAAGACAAGAGAGCCTGGCAGAAAGCACCACCAAATCCTTCACCCCATAGTTATCAAGTTGTGGCCAGTATACTGTTGCCAGACACCGAAGAAATGGTTCCTCGCCAGGAGTTTAATTCTAGACTTGCTTCAGGCATCAGAAACACTGGTGAGTTACCTTCTGAAACTCTGGCCAAGGAGCCAGCCACTTACTGGAACTTGGCTGGGGGGCGGGGGGTGCGGGGGGTGCGGGGGGGAGATCTGCCCTAACACCCAGCCTTGCTGTTTATGTGGTCAACAAATGGGAAGTAAACATTCAATGTCTTAGAGGGGCTCTCGAAACATTTCTTTGGAATGGCCCAGAAAACTGGGACGAGGCCATATGTTAGCTCTCCATTACTCACAAAGAAAACTAAAGCAGGAGCTCTGAAGCTGAAGGAAGTTTTCAGAAAAGCTTGTGTGGCCAGCATTTGGGGGAATGGACTTATTTTCATTCTCTTTTCTAAGTTTAATGGGGTCACCTGGTAAGCTCTAGCCCATCCAGCATGGGTAAGATTTTACCTGCCCAATCACCACCACCACCACCACCACCACCCCGATATTTATAAAATAAGCAGTCTGGAATCCTGGTTTCCACACTGAAAATATTACCAGCAACAAGCATCTAGTCTAGTCAATAGTCTTATTTCCCTTTTTCTTAAATATATACATGTATGTAATTTTGTGATAATGATTGACATTATTTTTTAAGTCCCCTGCAGCTACTCAAAATCTAACCAGTTGCCAATAAGCCTTCCCCTCGAACTTCTTTACTGTCATAAAGAATTGTGCAGCATACTGTAATACACTGATCAACCAAGTAGTTTCAAGGAACTTCTCCTTGGGTTTGAATTGTTTCATTCCCCCACAGTGCACCTGATGTGGGTGCCAGGCATTTTGCTGAGCACTGGAAGGGGGAAGGGAAGAGAGAGACAACATGACAAAAAGCTATCTCAGCAATTGGCAATCTGTTTAGTCTCTCTCTCTCTCTCTCTCTCTCTCTCTCTCTCTCTCTCTCTCTCTCTCATTTTAATCTGGCCTAAGGGAAGCCACCCCTTTCCTTAATAGAGGAAAAATTTCCAAAAAATCAAGTAAGGATAAAATGTTTCTGAGAAATCACTGTAATTCAGTCAACTCTAGGAAAACCATGGTTAAATATAATAGCATGAATAGCCAAGAAAGATTAGGGAGATTTTCAAACCAAAGCAAGTCCTGCACACATATTAACTCAACATAGATAATGCTTGTCTAGATCTTTTCTTTGACTTCTCCTTTAGGAACCAACACCGAACCAGCCCCCCTTTTCACAAAGGGAATAGGGGAGTTTTGCTCACCTGATCCCAGCGCTCTTCAGGTAGCCTCTCTAGGCCCTAGAGTCTAGGCAGGGGTGGGCAAACTTTTTGACTCGAGGGCCACAATGGGTTCTTAACCTGGACCGGAGGGCCGGAACAAAAGCATGGATGGAGTGTTTGTGTGAACTAATATAAATTCAAAGTAAACATCATTACATAAAAGGGTACAGTCTTTTTTTTTTTTAGTTTTATTCATTTCAAACTGGCCGGATCCGGCCCGCGGGCCATAGTTTGCCCACGGCTGGTCTAGGGGCTCAGCCAGAGCTCCCTGTGAAGAAGGGTTTCCAGGATCAAGTCCCTAATTAGATACACAAAGAAAAAAACCATGAACAATTTGTGCACTTGGTGGTATTTACTTCTTTCTTTTAACAAACTGCCTTTTGGGAAAAGACTTGTCATATGGACAAGTCAATAATTTCCAAGGGATTAAAATATGGGGGTATGGGAAGACAATAGTTTAGCTCAAAAGCTGCCTGCTACGTTAACCCATTGTCTGGTTTCATATGAGACCCACACATTCTATGCTATGACAAAAAAAAAGAACGGAAACAAGAATGCAGCTTCCCACTAACATATTGTGATCCACTAGGCAGAAAATATACTTTATGCTTGTTTCTCTGGATTAATGTAGATAAAAGTTTAAATAGAGTAATTTTGTTTTCTGAGTTTCTTTATGTCAGTGTATTTTCCCCAAAGATCTTTTTTCTCTCTGGGGGCCTTAAATTCCTAAATGTTCACTGGGCAAGTAGATGCTAAATCCATTGAAGTAGATCCCCAATTCCAAGGCCTCCATAGGCATTGTTTGGACAAGATAGGAGTGTCTCTGGTGACCAGATCAGCCAGATTAACCAATTCCAGGACATGACCACTTTCAAGGAAGTCGGGCTGACTGACTGTACCCACCAGTCTTAACCTACCTGGATCATGATGTCCTGGTGGTGGCAGGAACCTAGGCAAAGAGATGGACCTGCTCATGCCTTAGCTGGTGGGAAGTTCCCCCAAGGGTGGCCCTGCCCAAGCTTTTGCCTAGCCTAGGCCCTAGGGGAACCAGTCACCTCTGCTACTTCCATCCCAGCCCTGATGTCTCCTGGGATCTGGGAGCATTTTCAGTAGAAACACCTCTGGTGGGCTCTGACAGGGTATCCCAGCAAAGGGAAGTACAATTTGAGTTTGGACCAGTGCAGGCCACACACACTTTATTCCATATCCGGGCCCAGATACCCAGGCTTTGAGAGGCAGGCTCCCATTGTGACCACCTTTCGCCCGGGGCTGAGGCTTGGCGCTGACCCGGTCGTAACTGCCAAGAGCCTGACAATGGGCACATCTGTCCTTTCTCTGAGGGATGAAAGCACCTAAGCGGACACGGCTCTGCCTTTTGTTGCAGATTTTTTTTTTCTTTCCTTTGTAAATGAAAGAAAGCCGCGGCATGTGGCGGCCGGGTGTACATCCCACACTGGGGGCCGCCCCACGCGTCCCCACCAGGCCCAAGGACCAAGTTCGATTCCAGATTGGAGCGTGATTGTGAGAAGCGGACAATTACGTCCGAAGCTGAATTGATTTTCAAATCTGGAGGCTTCTCACGCGGACGCCGGGAAGAGGGCGTCCCTGCGGGCCAAGCAGAGACCGGAGCGCCTGGTCCGCCCTGCGGGTATCAGTCCTTCCTGCGAGCAGTGGCTTCTGGGCGCTTTACCAGGAGGGCCAAGGAGAAGTCACAGGAACGGGCTGGGCCACCAGCACCCAGAAGTTAACCTGGGAACCCAGCAGGGCACTCCCGCTCCAACACACACACACACACACACACACACACACACACACACACACACACACACACACATACACGACTTCGGAAGCAGATGCGCCGACTTAATTGTCAGCGGGGCCAGAGGAGGAACCAGCCGGCAGGAGACAGCCAGGTATGGGCCGGGCTGGGACTCTTGGCACCGAGCGCTCCTCTCCCACATCGTGGAAGAGGAAAGAGGGGTGGGCAGAGGAGTATCAAGAAGGTCCGAGCTTTCTGGGTCAGCAGCCACAGAGCTGACCGAAGCCTTTAAGCTATTTGTCCCCTGCGGATGGGTAAAACGTGGACTCCCCGAATCCCTCCGGAAAGTAAAGCTTAGTGGGCCAGGGTGGTGGGAGTGGTGGCAGCCTCGGCATCCCGGGCAAACTGCGCCGGGGGCAGCAGCTGGAGAGAGAGAGCGCCGACGGCTCTTCAGCGCACCACCCGGGAGGAAAACCCAGCCAGTGCAGCCAGGGGCTGGGAGGAGAGCGCCCCCCGCCCCCCAGCCTGGGAGCCGAGAGGGACGCGAGTCCCCCGGGGTTGTGGTGGCGGCCCCAGGTCGCTCTGTGTCCTGGGCCTTCCCACGTGCGCGCCGCAAATCCGGCCACTCGGCGCCACCGGTGAGGCGCAGGACCCCCTCCTCCATTTGTACGGGGACGTCACGGGCCGCGCGCGCGGGGGCCCAGGGGGCGGGGCCGAGCCGCGCGCCTGCGCGCTGCGCCCAGCGGGCGTGAGGGCGGGCCGCGGCGGCGGCGGCGGCGGCGGCGGCAGCGGCGGCAGTACCGCGGCCACAGAGTCTGCAACAGTAACCCAGCCATGGCTCGAGCTGGCCAGCGGCGCGGGCAGGCAGCAGCCGCGGAAGGCGCGCGGGCTGCGTCAGGGGAGCCGGGGACCTCACAATTCTAAGAAAGAGAGGGGCGAGAGGGGGCCAGGGGCGAGGAGGCTGGGGACACAGCGCTCAGCCAACGGTGAGGATCCTTTTTGAAAATTAATATTAAAAAAAAAGAGAGAGAGAACGCAGAGGAAAAGGTGGGGGCAAGAGGGAAGGCGATTCATACAGAGAGGTAGACAGAGCCCCACAGTGAGAGGAAAAGGAAGGAAGCAAGGAAGGCAACAGTCGCCGGCAGCCGATGTGAAGACCGGACTCCGTGCGCCCTTCGCCGCCTCTGTCCGGCCTCATCGATGTTGTGTCCGCCGCCCGCTCGCCCGGATCACGATGAATGCGCAGCTGACCATGGAGGCGATCGGCGAGCTGCACGGGGTGAGCCATGAACCAGTGCCCGCCCCTGCCGACCTGCTGGGTGGCAGTCCCCACGCGCGAAGCTCCGTGGCGCACCGCGGTAGCCACCTGCCCCCCGCGCACCCACGCTCCATGGGCATGGCGTCCCTGCTGGACGGCGGCGGCGGCGGCGGCGGCGGCGAATACCACCACCACCACCGGGCCCCTGAGCACAGCCTGGCCGGCCCCCTTCACCCCACGATGACCATGGCCTGCGAGACTCCCCCAGGTATGAGCATGCCCACCACCTACACCACCTTGACTCCCCTGCAGCCGCTGCCGCCCATCTCCACCGTCTCGGACAAGTTTCCCCACCATCACCACCACCACCACCACCATCACCACCACCACCCGCACCACCACCAGCGCCTGGCGGGCAACGTGAGCGGTAGCTTCACGCTCATGCGGGACGAGCGAGGGCTGGCTTCCATGAATAACCTCTATACCCCCTACCACAAGGACGTGGCTGGCATGGGCCAGAGCCTCTCGCCCCTCTCTGGTTCCGGTCTGGGCAGCATCCACAACTCCCAGCAAGGGCTCCCCCACTATGCTCACCCTGGCGCCGCCATGCCCACCGACAAGATGCTCACCCCCAACGGCTTCGAAGCCCACCACCCGGCCATGCTGGGTCGTCACGGGGAGCAGCACCTCACGCCCACCTCGGCCGGCATGGTTCCCATCAACGGCCTCCCTCCGCACCACCCCCACGCCCACCTGAACGCCCAGGGCCACGGGCAGCTCCTGGGCACAGCCCGGGAGCCCAACCCTTCCGTGACCGGTGCGCAGGTCAGCAATGGGAGTAATTCAGGACAAATGGAAGAGATCAATACCAAAGAGGTGGCACAGCGCATCACCACGGAGCTCAAGCGCTACAGCATCCCACAGGCCATCTTCGCTCAGAGGGTGCTCTGCCGCTCCCAGGGGACCCTCTCGGACCTTCTGCGCAACCCCAAACCCTGGAGCAAACTCAAGTCTGGCCGGGAGACGTTCCGGAGGATGTGGAAGTGGCTGCAGGAGCCGGAGTTCCAACGCATGTCTGCGCTCCGCTTAGCAGGTGAGCGCGTCAAGGAGTTGGGGCGCGCGGGAATAGAAGGGATGGGGCCCCCAGGAACCGAAGGAGGGCGGGAAGAAGAGAGGACTGGGGCTCATCACCCCTCCTCCTTTCCCCGGGATGGTGTCCTTGGGCCTGGAAGAGCCGGTACCGGGCTCCAGGCAGCAGACCGCCTCCTCCAGGACTTGGTGCGTTGGGCTGTGGGAGGCCCTGAAGGCTGAGTGCTGCGGTTTCTGCGACTGCGGGGCGCGTTTGTGCTGGGAGACAGCGCGGGCAGCCCGCACTGCCCGAGGCGGAGAACACTCCCCTCACCTGGGGAGACGCCGTCTGTGCGGCGCTTCTCGGTTGGACACTTGGGCTGGAGCTGCCTGCCAATGTTGATCTGAACTCGCTGCGGTAACCCCCCGTCCCGCACTAACTCTATAGGGGCGGGAGGGGCCCGCAGTCAGAGTTGGGGCAGAAGGTTCTACAGCCGCGAGGAGGTGAGTGTAAGCGGACTTGCAGCGGGCTGTGGAAGGAAGAGGGAGACGGGCGGTGCGGAGGTCCTGGTCAGCCCGGAGACAGCCTGCGCTGCTTACTCGCTTAGGACTTCTCATTTTCATGGTATTCCTTTGCATGATGTTTCGTCTAAATCCCAATGCAGGGAAGGGCGGGGGTGTGGAAATGGCCCCCGAGTCTGCGAGCAAAGGTCTCCCGGACCCGAAACCCCGAAGCGTTTCGGAGTTTTGCGGGAAGGTCTCTGGCGGCGCTGCACGGACACGGTGCCTACCTCCCCTCACCTCTTTCGACCAAGGTGAGGACGAGGCTCCGGCGGGCGGACTAGCCCAGGGACAGCTGAGCCCAGGCTGAAGCCACAGAGGATTTCGTGCGGATTCTGCGACCTCCGAGGGCGGAGGACACGAGGGGAAGTAGAGCCACGGGTAGCCTTGGGCGGACTCGGTTTGATGAGACCCGGGCTGAGCTGAGTAACTCCTGGGTTCATCCCCCCACAACCCCCACCCCCAGCCCCAATTTTAGCCCCGGCGCCATGGCCTGAGTCCTGGCGAAGAGAAAGGTAAAAGCCGGTATGCGGGTTTGTTAATTAACTGATCGTTCTCCATTAATCCGTCCCTGGAGAACGAGAGACAGTCAATCCGCTCAGAGCCGGGGGCACTGAGCAGTTTCACAGACTAAAATCAAAGCCAGAGGCCAGAGCCCCCCTCCCCCACCTCGTGCGGGCCAATGAGAAGCTAGAGGGAGGCAGGTGCTGGCGTGCCCGCGAGCTCGCGACTCCGGCCGGGAGGCGACGCACAGCAATCTGCGGGTCTGGGCGCTTCTGGCCTGCCCTCCCGAGCGACCCGCTGGTTGAGCCTCAGCCCGGCGCTCCTGCGCTCCAAGCAAAGACCCCACGCAGGGAAGACAGGGGTGGGGAGACAGGAAGGAAGAGGTTGACAGGGTGCCCTCTAGGCTCCCGCGATTCCGCTCGCTAGCCTCGTGTGCTGCCACCGTATCGCCCTCCCCCGCCCCTCCACTGCCCCTGCGGCTGACTGCGACCTGAGAGCCGCTGAAGTTTCAGGGAGGGTGGAGAAACGGCTGCCCCACTCCCCGGCCGCTCCACTAATGCGGGTGCCTAAGGTGATCAGTGCCTTTTCACACGCCTGCGCCAGACTCCAGCCGGGCTTCGGGACCTTTTTCCCGGGCAGTACCCGCACAGGCCGGCCGAGAGGGAGGTGGGGGTGGAGGGTTGGTGGAAAAGGAGGGGTGCCCCCGGGGAACCCGTCCCCCACCCGCCACCCCGTGAAGGCGCTTGCTCGGGACTTCAATGACCCTTCCTCCCTCATTGCCTCCTGTTGCCGCCTGGAAGAACAGACTCTCGGGTTTTGTTCAGAGACGATCCCCGAGCCCTGGAAACCTGGTCTTGGGCCCTGTCCTGCGTGAGCGCCCTCTGATCTCCAGGCCTGAGCGCCCCAGTGCTGTTGAGGGGAAGTCGGAATACTGCGACCCGCACATGGGAGGCGCGGGCAGCGTGCTGGCTGAGGCTCATGGAGCCGAGGAGGCTATCGAGTGGGCGCCTGCCTGGTATCCAGCAGCCTGTGCCATGTCATTCTCTGCCCCAGGCATGTGGTCTTTTTTTGGGGGGGAGCGGGGGTTGCCGGGGAGGTTGGAGACTCTGGTAGGACACACGTTTGAACCCCTAATCCCAAAGGGCCTCCGCATCCTAAGACCCGGATGGAGGGATGGAGCCTTGACCCTTTCATTTCCCTTTCTTTAGCTTAATTAACGGGGTGGGGAGGGCTGGGATACGGTCTGGTGCGGAGGAAACCGGGAATACCATGTTGCTGCAAAAACCACGATCTACTTTTAAGTCACTGAAGGACTATGAGGCGTTCTGTTAGCATTGTTATTTATAAAAAACAAAGGGAGGCCGTTTCCTGAACCCTCTCAGTGATCTCGACTGGGCTTTGCAGGAGACATAGAATGGATTTCAGGGCATGTTGGTTGCAGCTGTGCAACACTGCTGCCTCCTCCCCGCCACCACTTCCCAGGCACCCAGAAGCTCCTTGCAGCTGTGCTCGCTGTTGCACTCAAAGACCCGTCAACCTAGTCCCCACCCCACGCGAGGCTGGGCCCACCGTGGTCGGTTCCATCGGTGGCAGGAGGGTGGTTTCTCTGTGCCCCTCCCTGTACCCTAGGCTCCCCGCAGTTTGCTGAGAGTCAAGCCCTCCACACGTGGCTACGTGTTTGGGGAGGTGCCTTCTCCTTAGGAAATTACATCTGCTGGTGGAAGACGGGAGGGAGATGAGGAAATTCTCACCAAATTAACTACCTTTTAAAAATCAATATATGTTCCCTCAATGCAATACTTGCTGCTGCCCCATTAAAGTGCAGCACAACCAGATTCGCGCCGCTCCTCGTCCCAGGTGGGGGTGGGAGGTCTTGGCTGTGCGGGTGGGTGTGTGCCCCGCCTCTGACGCAGGCGCCTATTAAGATGCGAGGAGATTAGTTTCCAATTAAAGATTCCAGAAGGCGTCCACCACACTAGGGGAGCTGCCAGCGCAGGAAGAGGCTGCAAAGCGCACCCGCCAGCTGGCGCAGCACCCGGGACCTGGGAGGTGAGGCCTGCAGGCCCAGGATTCGGGCAGGGGTGTGTGCTGGGCCACTCGGACCCTTTGGTACCTGGAGGCAAGGAAACCTCCAAATGCCACGGAGCCGGCTGGGTCTCTGGAACCGGACTGCGCCCCCTTCCTGTCCAGAATTTGTTCCAGAGTGACTTAAAAAAGGGCCTGGGGAGGAGGAGGGGGATCTGGCCAGGAGGTGGCCATGAGAAAGTCTGGCCGGGGCCAACCTGGACTGTGTTTGCCGTAAGTGGCCTTGCGGCCTGGTTGATTGATAACAGGCCCCTGCGCAAGTTCATTTGCTTTTTGTTAATATTTATCCCCGCGGGTGACATTTCAACTGTCCCCTTGCTTCCTGGGGCCACGGGAGCCAAACAGGAGAGCCTGGGGCCAAGGTGCTGGCTCTGGGAACCCCACTTCCCCAATCCTCAAAGACTCCCGCTGGCCGGAGCCCGGAGAACAGCCAGGACTGGGTGTGGGGACACTGGAGCTGGGAGAGCGCCTGAGTCATAGAGTGGGAAGAGAAGGCGCTAAGTGAATTGGTTCCCTCGCGCCCCAGGTCTCCCGCGCAGTGCAGCTGCTTGCAGCAAGCTGCGGCTGGAACAAAGGGCTGGCGGGGTGCGGCCGGTGGCGGCTGGGCTCGAATCCCATGAGAAGTGCCTCTTCCGAAGGCCGGGGAGGGCCTCCTCCCAGAGTGGCTGGGGACTGGGCCAGTAGTCAGAGGGCGATTACCTCCACCCCACCCCCAGGCCCAATGGTGGCTGGAGACCCCACACACACCAGCTCAGCAGGAAACCAAAAGGCCTCGCTCTTGGGGACAGTTAGCAGAAGGTTCTACGTGAGCCTTTCTTGCAGCCCATGTCTGAACCCTCGAGGATATGAGACAAAAGTTTCCCCTTGCTGTCCCCACCAGGGAGCACAAACACCCCGGTGAGGAGAGAAAGGAGGGAGGGGTTAGGAAGTGTGCACGTGGTTTGACTAGGGTGGGGGGGAGACCTGCTCTGGGGGCTTGAGGAGGCCTGACGGTTATTGTGTGGCGACTCAGGTGTCAGCTTATCGAGGATGGCCACCTGAGATAAGTAAACACCTCGGCCCGTTCAAAGGGTGACCGGCTGTCCTGCCAGCGGTGCAGCCCCGAGCCCCTTGGAATCGCCAGCGGGGTGATGGGTTTGGCCTGAGCGACCCGCCTGGCCCAGGGCTGCTGTGGTCACTAGAGACCCAGCCCTGCCGTCGCTGCTTTGCAACCGGCAATTGGGACGGACTGTGCCATCCCATCGCAGGTTGTGTTTGTAGCCTCAGAGTGACTGAAAACCCAGGGCGCGACTTTATCTTCAAGGGTCCAGCCGTGGGCGCGCTCCCTGTGGGCTCGCCTTCCCTGGGTAGCAGCCGGGCTGTGCTGCGATAGCTGCGCGCGCCCCCTGCGGGCGGCGGGCCTGGCGCCCAGCAATCCTCCGTGGTTCAACCTGCTACGAAGCTGTCCCAGGGATTTCACAAAAGGTAACTATTTTGAGAGGAAGAGGATGTGGAGGAGGAAGAAAAGGATAGCTAGTGAATCTGTCTTGGTCCCCAACAATGCTTTAATATTACCCCAGTGATGACACAACATTGCCATCCCATCCCCCAAAGTACACACCAACTCTAACCTAGCCAAACAAGATGCGAGTCTGGATTTTCTAGCCGAATGATACTTTTGCGGGCATGTTTTTATTTGAGGAGCTCAGGGCCAGAGTAGAGAAGGTGACTCTGTGTCTGAAGAAGGAGGTTGGGGCTGAGGGCTGTAGGACCTGGAGGGCGGGTTAGCGGTTCCTTTGTTTTATTGTTTCCCCTTCCAGCTAACTGATGGAAGTTGGGAGGCTGCTCGGAGGCCTTGAGCTTGGAGGTCTTTGTTTGGTCCCTTGTTGAGTGGGT